TGTAAAAAGCTTAATGATATTTATGCTTTGCACTTTAATTTCTTATCTTGTATATACAAGAGGAGGAAAAAATAGAGAAGTCTGTAGGTAACTGTTGTATGTCATAAATTTCGCATGCGTGAAACAACTGAATTTTGTGGACTAAAGCGCCTGCTTAGGCAGAGCACAGCAACCTGGTTTGATCCCCGGTGTGTGGTGCCAGCCCCACCCCCAGGGCTTGCTGGGATGGAGAATGAGACTGGCTGTGGTGGTGTGTGCCTGTAATCCCAGCACTTGAGAGAGTGAACACAGGAGGATCACTATGAGTCCGATCTACATAGTGAGACCCTGTAGGATGTGTACGGAATACATAAAAATAAAAAAAATTAAAAAATAAAAAACCTGAATTTTAAAGTAGCATTTTACACAACTCATTTTGTATCATTATATATTATTAGCTATTAATGTGAAGTTCCTTAGAAAAGTCTCTTCTAGACAATTTCCTGAAAATGTGTAGGTGCATTTGAAAGAGGTTCAACCCTCTTAAGGTATGGTTATTGCTAGGCTGTGAGATGCAATGGAGTGTCTGTGAAGAAGTGACTTGATTTGCATGTTGATTCTTGGTTCCAACTGTGGAAATGAAGTTTCTCTTTCATCTCTCCTAGGCTCTTGCTAAAGACATCAAGGAAATGTCTGAAGAAATGGATAAGAACAAGAATTTGTTTTCCCAAACTTTTCCAGAAAATGGTGATAACCGAGATGTTATTGAAGATACTTTGGGGTGTCTTTTGGGCAGATTATCCTTGTTGGACTCAGTAGTGGATCAGCGGTGTCATCAGATGAAAGAAACACTTCAGCAAATACTAAATTTCCAGGTAAATAAGAAAATTTCAAAGGCTTTAAAAAAAAAATGTATTTGGTACAGGATCTCACTACACAGCTCAGACTCATGGTAATCCTCCTGTCTCAGCCTCCCCAGCACTGGGATTATAGGTGTGTGCCACCAGGCCCAGTCTCAGTCCCTGGCTCAGTGCACCCAGGGGTGGGGCTGGTGCAGCATGCAGTACCGGGAATTGAACCCCAGTCCCTGTGCTTGCCTACGCAGGCGCTTTGTCTGCTGAGCTATCTTGCCAGCCCTTAAAGGACTTTTGACCACTGTTGAGGCATAGCCAGTAATGATCAATGGGGTAACTTGTTGAGGTCTATTATCAACCTTATCCACTGCAAATGTAGAATGAAGGAAAAAACATTGCAGGAAATCAAGCAGTTTGGACTAAAGGTTTAGAAAACTAAGTTTCATGATTCTAGAAATAGAAGGAAGAGAAAACCACTCAAACTAAGAGTTGAATAAAACGTTAAATTCAACCAATAAAAGTCAAATTTATGGCTTATTGCAAATATAATTTCCAGTTATGAGTAGTGGAGTTTAATATTTATGACAAAGGAACATTCAGGAAGTCCTAGAATGCATACAGAAAGTACCCCAGACTTCAGTATCCAAGAGTTTTTGAAGGTGGCTGTGGCATAAGTTTTTCTACCTGTGTTAAGATGTCTCACATTACTAACACGAGCTCCTCATGCTTGCTACATTTTAGCCCCATGTTGGAATTCCACTGTCATGCGATATTTCTGTGCTTATGAAATTTTTCATATGATTGTACATAGAAACAGATGCAAAAACTGCTTATAAATTCTGTCAATGTTGATTTTTTTTTTCATTCCAACTAAAAAGCCCTTTAAGAAATGCTTGCATTTAATTGAATTCTATGTTTAATAAGCATGGGAGATTTGCAAAATATTCATATATGTATAATTCTCACAAAGAGTTTGATGTTAACTTTTGATTTGAGAAAAACTAGGTAGTATCAAATAAATGATCTATTTACTGTGTAACATTTTCAGCATTTTCATTTGGTGGGACAAATTACCACTAACTTCCAGTACTCTACACACATAAAGCTACATAGAAAAATTATGAACATATTTCTTTTATTTTCTATTCCTAAATCATTTTTTAAAATCTTTTGTTTATTTATTTGATATAGGGTCTCACTATGCAGCTCAGACTCATAGTGGTCCTCCTGTCTCAGCCTCCTCATCTCTGGGATTACGTGCTTGTACCAAGACATCTGGTTTTGGTGTCCAGCATAACATGCAGGGTCAGGAACTGAACCTGGGTCCTTACACTTGTCATGCAAGCCCTTAGACTGCCGAGCTATCTCCATAGCTCACCCAAATCATTTCAGATAAATCATTGTCTTCAGTCTTCACCAAATTCCTGTTACTTAAGCATTGTTCTAATTTTGCAAAGTCATAAGAGGAAAAATTAAGAACATGGTCACTGAAGCAATCACTGTACATTAAAGTCAAATTCTGGCATTGTCACCATTATGGCAGCTTAGCTCCTTACTGCCTCTGAGCTTTAATGGCCTTCAAATATGCATTCACGCCTGTAGTAATTACCTGATAATTTTGCTATTGTTGTTGCTATAGTTAAGGTCAGTATTATAACAGAGAGGGGTCTGATACCAATGGCAAGACAAATTACTTCACACATATTCATTCAGTCATTAAGAAACAGAACAGGATTTGGTTTCAAGAGTTCTGTATTTTGTAGTATCAAAGTGATAGTAGGGCTAGGTGTGGTGATGTACACCCGTAATCTCAACATTCAGGAGGCTAAGACAGGAGAGTCCTTGTGAGTTCTAGACCAGCTTGGGATAGAAAGTTAGCTCAAGGCAAGCCTGTACTGGGTAATGAGACCCTGTCTCAAAAAGACACACACACACACACACACACACACACACACACACACACACAAAGTGATAGCAGAGGAGATGGAGACTAGATCTATTCAAGATAAATTATGAAGAGAGACATTACAAAAACACTGCAGCACAAGAGACTGGGGGTCTTCTGAAATGTCCAGAGGCTCTGAATTGGTACTGTTGGCTGGGTGATGGGGTAGTGTTAGGATCCACACAGGAAGAATCCTAGCAGACATTGAAAGGGTTCCAGTAATATAAAGAAAATGAAGCCATGGGCTTCCTCTTTTTCCTTTGTACCGAGAGCTTGGTCTGCTGTCAGTGCCCCGCAGTTACTTGGGGAGTGCATCTTCACTTTCCAGCTAATCTTCGACTACTAGCTTTCCCCCGACTAGTAGCACTGCTTTGTACCCAAAAGGCTATCTGGAGGGTTGCATGTATGCTATGTACGTTACCGATGGAATCCTAATCGAGTCACTTGTCGACTGGTCTGTATTGTTACTCTTTTTACCTAGACTTAATCCCAAATACATTTGTGAACATGTAATTAAAGATTTTAAGTTATTTTTTTAAAAAATGTAGAATGAGGGCAAGCCAGATAGCTCAGTGGACTAAAGCGCCTGCTTAGGTAGAGAATAGGGGCTGGGGTTTGATCTCCAGCACCATAAGCCATGCTGGCTCTGTCCCCAGGGCATGCTGAGACAGTGACTGAGACTGGACATGGTGACACGCACCTGTAATCCCAATACTTGGGAGGCTGAAAACAGGAGGATCATTATGAGTTGGATCTGTGTAGTGAGACCCTATGGACCCTGTACTAAATATACACA